GCCTTAGCTGCTTGAGCCACAGGTGCCGAGCCAGCAACCTCAAAGTCTTGTGCTTAAGTGATTCTCTTGCCTCAGCTGGGACTACAGGCACCCACCACGACGCCCAGCTAATTGTTAGAGATGAGGTCTCACTCTGGCTTAGGCTGGTCTTGAACCTGGGAGCTCAGTCAATCTACCTGCCTCGGCCTCCCAGAGTGCCAGGATTATAGGTGTGAGCTACCCACACCTGGCCTTCATTGCTTCTTTAAAGAACCAAATATGGTTACATTCTGAGGTACTAGAGGTTAAGATTTCAACATATGAATTAGGAGGAGATACAATTTAGCCCATAATAGGAAGCAAGAGTGGAAGTGGAAGGATATTATTGTAATTATTGTAGAGTCTCAACAAGAGATGCCAATGGCTAGACAGTGTGCCTCACACCCATAATCTCAGTGTTTTGAGAGGCCAAGATGGGAGGATTCCTTGAAGCCAGGAGTTCGAGACTAGCCTGGGCAACATAGCAAGACCTCATCTCTACATGGCACTCTGGGAGGCCAAGATGGGTGGATTGCTTGAGTTCAGGAGTTCAAAGTCAGCCTGACCAAGAGAGAGAACCTGTCTCCAAAAATAGCTGGGCATTGTGGTGGGTGCCTGGAGTCCTAGCTACTCAAAAGCCCAGGAGTTTGAGGTTGCTGTGAGCTATGACACCATAGCACTCTACCGAGGGGAAAAAGTAAAACTCTATCATAAATAAATAAATAAAACATTAGCTGGGGGTTGTGTCACACACCTGTAGTCCCAGCTATGGGAGAGACTAAGGCAGGAGGATCACTTGAGCCCAGGAATTTGAGGTTGCTGTGAGCTATGATGCCATAGGACTCTACCGAGGGGGACAAAGTAAAACTCTATCATAAATAAATAAATAAAACATTAGCTGGGGGTTGTGTCACACACCTGTAGTCCCAGCTACAGGGGAGACTAAGGCGGGAGGATCACTTGAGCCCAGGAATTTGAGGTGGCTGTGAGCTATGACATCAGAGCACTCTAGCCTGGGCAACAAAGTAAGACTGTCACAAAAAAGAAAAAAAAAAAAGAAAAAACAGAAGAGAAGAGGAGAGGGGAGGAGAGGAGAAGAAAGAAAATAGAAAAAGCCTGGTGTGGTGGCTCATGCCTGTAACCCCAACACTTTGGGAGCTGAGGAGGAAAGGATCTCTTGAGGCTAGGAGTTTCATATGTTGAAATCTCAACCTCTAGGAGTTCATTTCTGGGAAACAACTCGAAGGGTCAAGTTGTTAGTTAAGGGAGAGAATTATAAGAAACATATAGTGGTTCATGGAGCCGGTTATAGGGCACAGAAACGCTGTGCCTTTGATTGAGATCAGGCATCTGTGTATTTAAAAGTTACGGAGGGCGGGTGTTTGGCACACCTTTTGGGGGTGGGACATAACCGCAAGAGGGGTTCTACCTAACAAAATCAAATATTTTGACCTAGTTGTGTGTCCCCTGACATTAACCTGAACTAAATTTACTTTTCAATTAAAAATAATAATAATAAAAAACAAATAAAAGTTACCCAAGGCTGATTTCCAGCTTGCTTTGGGCTGTAAAGATCAGGAAGGAGCACTTGTCCTTTGAACTAATTTCAAATTCCAAACCCCCGTTGAACCTGTCAAAGAGCTCAGGTCACAGAGCAACCAACTGGTCCAAAATGGAGGAGTGACAGGTGCCTGCAGGCAGAAAAGAGAGGTAAGCACTGGCTTCCCTGAGACAGACAGACAGGCACAACCAGGTACTAGTAAGATAAATTCAGCTACAATAATTGAAGAATTCACGAAGGCCTCGTACGGATTGGCAGAACAGTGTGAATACCCTGGGGGTGGCAGAAACTGAGAGCATATACAGCATCATGAAGCGCTCTTGCTCTACAAATCTAACCAGCACTTATAGACAAGATTGGGAAAGAGCCTTAATAAAGTGTTCACTGTGAGTGCAAATCTGGGGGAGGGCAACGTCTCCTCCTACCTTTATCCCCTAAGGAACAAAGCCTTACTCAGAAAGGAAAGGCAACACTTTTGTACTCTGGGTGCCGTGAAAAGTCATGGTCGGAAGGAAAGAGCAGAGGGGACAATGCTAGGCCTGGGGAAGGGGCAGGAGAATCTGAAGACCACATCCCTAGAGATCTAGGGACCCCCAGATCCTGCTTAAGACTAAGGCTTAATCAGAACAACAGAGAGAACATGACCACCTGCTCCTCCAGGCCTCATCCTGCACTGTTCCTCAAGTCCAAGTTAGGAGAACCAGCAACAGCCGAATACTGTTGAGTGGATACTGTTGAGTGGATACTGGAGAGGAACAAAGGGTGCAAAGAGATCCTGTCTGAGGCACAGAAAGAAGGGAACTGCTTCAAGCTCAGAGTTATGCAGACAGGACCCCGACAAGCTGAGATATAGCTCTGGCGATCTGAACACTAAACCCAACCCAACTCCTATCTCGATTACCCTCTCCCCACTGTGGGGAAGAAATCCTCAGGACCCTGATAAAAGTACAGCAATTTGGGAGACAGGTAGATGAAGAAAGCAGGCCCCAAACCAAATAGGTAGGGCACCGGCCACAGACACCGAGCCTGGAGGGTTCGAACCCGGCCCGGGCCAGCTAATAACAACGACAGCTTCAAGAAAAAAATAGCCGGGTGTTGTGCTGAGCACCTGTAGTGCCAGCTACTTGGGAGGCTGAGGCAAGAACATCACTTAAACCCAAAAGTTTGAGGTTGCTGTGAGCTAGAATCACTTAAGTACAAGAGTTTGAGGTTGCTGTGAGCTGAGATACCATGGCACTCTACCCAGGGCAACAGCTTTAGACTCTGTCTCAAAAAAAAAACAAGCCCAAATTGCAGGATTACAGCAATTCCCTTCCCATACTCCTATAAATCCTCATGACAAAAGTATAGCCATCCTGGGAGTACAGATAGCGATAGAGAGCAGGTCAGAGACCAAATGTCACGGTCACAGCAACCCCTCCCCACCCTCCTGGAATGCTTTAGGGTGGGTGTTCCTGAGAAGCATCAGAATCTCCTACCCTGGTCCTGGCTGGCACTTGAGATAAGTCCTTCCTGCAAGATTAACACCTTTTGTGGGAGGCAGTAATTCTAAAATCAGTCTCGGACACAGCATCTTTCACTCTGCAGGAAACATGATTTCCTTACCTCTCATGACCCCCTCCCACATCCCACCTACACTAATGAAAGTCCCTTGAACTGTGAGCTGAGCTGACTTCAGGTCGGACTCCATTCTGCTCCTTTAAAACAAAGCCTATCCCTCAATCCTGGATTGGCCTCCTCTCCTTGTGGATCCTGGCCAGACTCTATCCCTAAACCTCTCACCCGCCCCAGCTAACCTCCTAGCAGGAGGAAGGTACCCCCTTTTCTAGGCATATAAACTATTCTACTATTCTCATAGGAGAAGTCTGGCTTTCCACCAAGTATCACAAGACATACAAAAAAGGCAAAAAAT